ACTTGTATCACTAAGGTTTCTTCGGAAAGAAATTATACGGAAATTAACTAACGACCAGAGACGTAACAATGTGTTCTGTATTTTTACTTGTTACTCCTTCGCTTTTTATGTGTTTTAGTTTTGATTAAATTATCATTATTACAGCATGGTATTTTAGTTATTTACTTAGAAATGGTGTAATGCTTATATTTTGCTTTCGATACTGAAAATGAAATCTTTAGAATTTCGAAACATTTATCTGTATCCCCTTCTGTTATAATAAACAATATATTGTTTATCTGAAGTATCGTTATCCTTTTTATTACATTCATATTGTGTGATATTATTATAATAATTTCCTTTCATAGTTTATCCCTTAGGAACTACAACACATGTAATTTCCAATCAACGCAATATATATTGTTTCACTATTCTTTATTATCTCTAGTTGTATATTTCAATTAACTCACAGAAAAAGAAAATTTATATTGATAGATTTTTCCTTTTGACCTCTAATCTGTGTTCCCGCAAATTTTACACCTGGTTATTTTTTTCGAGGTCTTTCGAACTGTTACGCGTGTCTTATACAGATACGTTAGCGACTTGTGCGACCTCTGTTGTTAATGAGTTTTATTGAGAACGGTAAAAAAAAATCTACTTTAAATTACGACCCCAAGTGACAACAACCTTTAAAGAGTAATTATCGTAGCTCATATATTTATTACTTTAACTGTCTTTCAAGAAAGGCCTAACGCTACTAAAAACTTTTTTAAATTCCGGTCTAACTAAGTACGAACATCTACAGAAAGAATACGTAGTAAAAATGTGGTCACTGTTGCTAAGATTCTGTTGCTATGCTGTGTCGTATAACTGTCATTATTGGTTATCAAGTTGCGCGCATGTGCTGTTGAGCTAAGGCCTTTTCGTGAGCTTAGTTACCGAAGAAAAGATTTAATCTATTTGAAAGTTGTATTCAAAAGTAGTAAATTATGAGGGTTTGTGCTTATATTATGTAACACACGTAATAATAATAATATTACATGCTGAAAGTGAGGTAATCAGTTTTATTCAGGGTAATAAAACTTGTGATGAAAAATGGGCTCCCGTGGGTAAGTACAAACTAATAAAGTAGGCCTAAGATTTAACGTTAAAATTTGTAAAACTAATGAGAAAGGAAGTACCACAGATTTCCGCCCAGTGAATCTACTGTAAAACTCGAAAAATAAATGACTTATTGATTTGTACCAAATTAAACTACTATATTAAGATAAAAATTAAGTATTTTCAAATGGTAGTTGTAATTTGTCAAGAGGTAATGAAAACTTTCGTAACAACATGAGACCTGTAAGTGCAACTTGTAAGTTGTAGTTATATATATTAATATAACTTATAAGTGTAACTTTAAATCTACAAAACAAGGCCCTACTTACTACATTCAGTTTCGTATTTTCATCGCATAAATGAAAATAAAACTCGTTTTGTAAAATAAAATGAACATGAGTAGCAAACAGTCTGTGATAAACTGTTATTCTCTTAGTCTTACGCAAAACTTGTAATCTCTGAAGTATGGGGTTGAATTTCAGCTGCTTCTATGAGAAATATGCTTTCGTTTGTTTCTTATTTTCAAATTCCAGTGACATACGAAATGGAGCTTATTGCCCATTCTAATCACTTCTGTGAATCCATAGCCTAAATCTTCAATTAAGTGTTAAAATTCGTTGCCAATGACACTAAGCTAGTTCTTCACAAAATTCTGTGTTTTTATTAAGTTCTAGTTTATGTCTTGTAATGTAACTAAAGAACATTAATCACTGATACCTCTCTTAAATGAAAATGTGAATTTTAGTTTCACTATAATCTTTATTTATGAAGGTCTGGTTGCAAGGAAGTTAATATTCCTATGATTTTTTAACATGTGAACAACACTAATAATTCATTATACATGCAACTCTTCAGTGTTCAGAAAATCCAGAAGTATTTTCAAATCTTTATAATTTTTAAATTAAACCACCGAGGCTCAGTAGTAATCTATATTGTATTGCTGCTTTCAATAAATGAGAAATCTTCTATGCTGCTGTTTAGGCTTGGGGAATATGGTAAAACATCATGTAAAACTACAATTTTTCTTTTCCTTAAAATACTGTTAATCAGTTCAATATGTATTTCAAATACCTTTTTCTCGGCCATAAAAATAACCACGGGTTGTATGTGTATACTTACTTCAGTAATAGTATAACACATAAATAGTCAGCAAATCATATGGGGGAGGATTATATGTATCTTTAGTTAGGTG